TTATTATGACAAACGGTTTAATTAATAAGGGGACAATACTCAAATCCGTTGTAACAAGAAATGTGCTGTGGCGAGGTCCGCTGTGACGAGGTTTGACTGTAATATATAAAAAAAAATTAATAAATGGTGGTTAACCGGTTAACCACGGTTAACGGTGCCAACCCCTAGTCTAATCTATCCATGATCAAAGTGTATTTGTCAGTTGAAGTGAGAATCCCATTCCCTAAATTATAGCACAGATTTCATGAAACTTGATCTATTAGACTATTTATTTATAATCATTTATAAAGAGCAAGATCATTTAGCATAAAAGCACCTACCATATGAAAACTATTGAGATACGTTAGTAAATATCTAGGCATGTCAGGAAATGGTTTCATTTTATGAAAACATTTTCTTTGATATAGTTTTATCATTGGGATCTACGATGAATGAATGGCATAGACTTTGAAAACCACGGAGTCAAAAGTATTAAATTCAAAACAATATAGCCATCTTGTGAAGTTATAACTGATACGTAATAATACTTACTGTTCATTCTACATTTCAATCCTAAATTGTGAATAGCAGTCTCTACACTTTTCAACACTAAGAGTCCATTTTTTTTTGGGTTCTCCATATTAATTATAAAGATATGGCTCTGCAACTAGGGGTTGCAACCCTAACCTCTGATTGGTCAGCGGCTATATCAACTTAGTCATGTGTGTAATAGTAATGTATCACGTGAAACCGATTTATTGCTAGAAGGTTTGGATCAGAACCTGTTTGTCCTCGAATAGTAGCTGAGTACAAGCAAAAATGCTTTTTAATATCAAATTAATAAATTAATTGTTATAATTATTGTCTTTATTGCAATTAAAATAAAATAAAAATATGCAATGCATACTTTGAACACATGACATCTTTCAAATTAGTAGATGTTAGATAAACATTTAAAATGTGTGAAATTAATTTATTTGGAATTTTAGTACATTGTGACATCATTAATTTAACAAATTACTTAAAGAAATTTTAGATCTACTACTATGTGACGAAGATTCTTCACGAGAACCTGAACTGGGCCCACTATCATTACTATTATTGTCACTTTTTGTTGCTGTTGATGTTGGTAATGAAGGAAAATATGCTGGTTGTTTTCCTTTTACTGTCGTAACAACCTCCTCCACTTTCTGCTGTTGCTGTACATGTTGTTGATCATAATCCATCGATTCAATATCAACATCTTCTTCATCCACCATATCTTCTTCTTCAACTTCTTCCTCGTCCTCTTCTTCTTCTAAATCCTCCTCGCCTAATAGTCGTAAACAATCTGCTATGATCATTCTACTTTGAACCTCGGGTGATTCAATTCTATTTTCCAAAAAAAATATTAATTATTTCTCTAAAAATAAATTCATAAATATATATTAAAATGAAGGAAGGAAATATTTATAATTATGATTGTAAGTACCTTAAATCGTGTAAACAATTAACTAAATTTTCTCTTAATGAGATATAACTAAACGTTTGAATTACAGTTTGCAATTGTTGAATACTAATAATTAATAATCAATAGTTAATAGTTAATAAAAGTGAAAACAAATGAATAGTGGTTATCATTATTAATTAAGTTATATATATATATATAATCAATAAATACGTTGATTTTAATTTTACGTCGTCATCTTCATTTGGTAAATTATTAATATATTTTTTAACCCTATTAAATAAAGTCTAAAATTAAAAATTTTAATTAATATTATATATATATATATATATTATAAATAAATATTTAAACAAAGCACGCTGATATATCTTACATCAATATATTCAGGTTGTGGTAATTTAATATTATCAGTTAGGTAACTTTTTGGGTGTTGATTTGTTGAAGGAGGAGAAGAAGGGCTTAACAATTTGTGATGATCTTCCCTTGAATAGATGGTGAAAATCATATCTAATAAATCAAAAAAAATTTATTAATTGAAAAAAAGCTCCTGAAACATTATTATTATTATATTACACATACATGATTCAGTCATAAAATTTTTTTTTAAATGCGTAATATTTTTTCCATCACCATTATCAGCATTATTGTCATCATTATCTTGAATTGGTGGTGATGGCTCTATGGTTGCATAAGTATCATTATTATCTATTAAAACCACTGCAACCTTTCCTCCTTTTCTCAATGACAAGCAAAGTAGATGAAAATAATCATTTTGGTTCTTGTTGTTGTCAACATCATTCTTAAAAATTAAAATTAAAAAAAAATATTAATAAAACTATTGCTACTTCATTGTTATTATTAAAATTAAAACCATTAATAAACAAGTGACTTTATTTACCTCTATCTCCATCTTTTCTTTTTCAACATTTACATTGTCATCATTGTTATTATTATCTTGATCTAAAAATAACCCAAAACGATATCTAGTTGGTTCACCAAAAAGTTCTTTTTTTGATTTAAATCCCACTATTGTTATCATTGACATTAGCTGAACTACATAATATAATACATTTGATTATAAATATAAATATGTTATACATTCATATAACCTCACATACATCATAATAACATACCATCTTCTTCATCTAAAACATGAATTAATGGATAAATTTTTATGGGAAATGTAAATTGACCACATATGAGTGTGAATTTTCTGGGCAAATCTATCAATAACAACAACAATCATAATAATAAAAGATATTAATACTAATCTTCTAAAATAATAAAAGGAATGTATCAACCCAATAAATAGATAATACATACAATATTTGTCCAACATAACATTTATAACATTCTCAATAGAAGCATTAGTTTGTGGATAAGGCAAATACCAAAAGGCACCCCCTTTATCAAGTATGTAATCACCTTTAGGGTGATTTTTTGTGATTTTCAATGGCAATATCCTATTCAACAATTCCTTATATCCTTGTAAAACATGATTAATTTCTATTGTAAAACATGTTGCTTTTTTGTTGCTGTTTAGAACAATATCTGATAAACAAATTATATGAAGTTTCCATAATTCATTTTGAAATTTGTATGAATCTGTTTGTGATGAAGATGGTGATAATGGTGCTGCAAAAGTTTATACACTTAATTTATCAGATTTTAAACATTAAAAAAAATTAATCTCATAAAATAAAAATATAAAAATAAGATTGTTGTTGTTGTTAATGGCAATCTAATTTAGCCTTACCTTTTTCTTCTGGAGATTTACCATCAGTTATCATGATAATTTGACATACTTGATATTGACCAAATTTCTCTGCAACATATTTTTCAACAAATAAAAATGCAGATCTCATGTTTCGATTATCAAAATCAGAATTCTTTTTCTTTTTCTTATTATTATTATTATTATTATTATTATTACTATTATTACTTGGATTCCATCTTTATTTTAAAAAAGAATTCATTTAATCAATTAATTACATGTTATTAATATTGTAATCTATAGATAAAATACATACTGATTTAAAGTTTTGATTATTGAATCATGATTTTGAGTGAATTTATGTAATACTTGACATTTCGATGTGAACGTTATAACAGATACTGTTTGCCAGGGACAATTCTTTAAAAAGCTAAAAATGCCTACAATAATAATATTTTTAGTACAAAACATGTTTGTGCACGCACACATAAAAATAAAAATAAAAATTAAAATAATTACCAAATTTTGCACAATCTAATTTTGTATTTATTTGATTTGCTGGTGAAAACATGTTCTTTGAAATGTCTAACAGAAACAACGTTACCTCCGGTTGTAACATTTTGATTTTTTTGTCTTTTATATAGTTTGATAATGAAAAATTTGAAAGAAAAATTTGTTGAAAAATACTAACGTGTAACGTGACACTTCCGCGAATAATTTGATCTTTTATCGGGAAACACAAATTTATATATATATGCTAATACCAATCATTTCAGCTGGTAAGGATACAATTGATTGGGTTATTCTATTGTTACTTCTTCCTGGACTCGGTAATCCATGGACTTTTGCATAATTTTCCAGAAAATACTTTACAATTTCAGCAACATTTTTGTCAATCACCATTTTAGTTTTCCATTGTTGAGGCATCCTTTTAATATTACCATGGATTCTTGACAGGAGACCATTGTTTATCAGATGATTTCTGATATTTTCAAAATAAGTTCTACTAATCCCTAACATATTAAAATAAGCTTCTTGACAAAAGAGTGTATTGTGATTCCACTGATAGAAAGTTCTTTTGTTAGATTTAGTTTTCTTTTTAAGGCGTCTACTATTGCTTGTTAATCCATCATCCATTGCCTTAAGTTGAGCCATTAAAAATATGTCTTGTTCTGAACTTGAAAGGTTTCTCTTAATTCTGCAAATTGTTTTTTCATATTCATTAGAACCATTATGATTATCATTTACATTATTACTTTTCATATACACTTATCCCTATATATATATATATAATTTTATGTTCACTTTATAGGTTTTTATGAATAAGCAACAAATAGTTTTTTATTTTTTTCACATCCTATCTTTGACATCTAATAATTTTTAACATAAAAGCTATTTTGAGTGAGGGTCAACAGAATTTGGGATACACAGAAACCATATCCATTTTAATTGTGGCAATTAACATAAATAAATTCTTTTACATAAGGATTATGTGAAACTGATATAAACAAATCATTTATTTATTTTTAATTAATAATTACTTCAATACATATGTAAATACATAATAAAGCTTTGTTAATAAAATCCGATAATTGAGGTGTAATAAAGCTTTGTTCTAACAAAATGCATGTCATGTGATTTTCTGATTAAACTTCCAGGCTTCACAAAAAAAAAACAACACGCGTTATCATATTATTTTGAGATGGCAAATCCCGGATAGCATAGGTATTTCGACAACAATGAGGTTAATAATTGGAGCATCCTCAGGTTTCATGAAACATGTCAGAATAAAGACGATCCAAAAAGTTAAATTATCAAAAAGCAAATGATGCTATTACAAAAAGCTTGTGTTCTCTTATTAACGATTGCAAAGATGAAATGAAGATACAAAACTTCTAGCAAGCAAGACAAGTACATTGTTATGGTGGAGTCTATGGGTCCTGTTTTATGCTTTTGTATGAGTCAATGAAGGTGTATGTGAACTGATGTCCATACTAAGAGGAATCAACTGTTTGCTGGTCTCTGAATGACTGCTTGAATGTATGGCAACAGTTGTCCATGCTAGGAGGAATAGACAATTTGCTGGTCCTCTGAATGCCTGCTTGGATGCATGACTTGTCACAATACCGATATGAGTGTGTTAGATTAGGTTTAGTACGTAAGATTAGATTTATTGTACATTATATATGATGTATTACATCGTTTTTCACCCCCATTTTTTCTTCTAAAGAGCAAATGCAGTCATGGAAGTGAAATTGACACCTTGTAGGTTCCTGTAGAATATCAGAATATCCAAAGATTGGCACTTGCGAAATTAAAGTAAGTCCATGGATTTATGTATTTGATTATCATCCATTTCAAATAAGTATTATTTATCATAGTTTTAAGCTACATCCTTCATCAAGGTTGATAATGTCACAAAATACTCACGCGCTTTGACTAGTGCTGTAGTAACAAACTTATGCAACATTATACCAGAGTCAACACCAATGTCACCAAGTAAATGGCTCTTTGAAAGTCTTGAATCAGAAACGATAAATTCAGCCAGGTTATGGGCCAAGAATCAAATGAAAATTTTAATCCGCAAACAGAAATAATTAGGATACCATCACCTACATCTCTGGACAAAGACACTCCAAATAAGCGCCAGATGTGTGATTAGAAAGTTATTCAGTGAGTTTCATATATTAATAGTAAACATCTAATTTAGTGAACGTAAATTCGATTACTTTATTATATGTTTGCTGTCTTAATGCAATGGGATATCTTTAAATACAACCAAGTTCACATTCAGGCACCATTTATGTGGACTAAAATAGAAAGTTATCTTGAAAATGTTCTGAAAGTGAGTTCTCATAGATATTAATTAGTAGCATATTGGAAAGAAGTATGTTTGACATCTTTTTGCTTGGTTTACAGAAGTCAGAAAGAGACTTTAAGAAGGCCATCATGCTAGAAATTAAGGGAGACGATGAGAATAGATTCCGTCTATATTGTAAGAAAATACTGATCGGCTTGTGAGTATTTGCTGTTTATTGTTACTTTTAAGTGAATAGATACTTATTTCCTACTTTTTTATTCTAGTTATAACCTGGTAAATAGTTTCCCCACATTTTCAAGAAAAATTGGCGAGAGAAAATATATTGTGCAGAATCTCTCTTTGCTTTTTAAATTTTATGAAACAACGTTTGGAAATATAACCTTCAATTGGATCAAATCTCATTCTCTATCAGCGAAATTGACCAAATCACTCGCCAGTTCTGGAATTGTTAAGTTAGATGCAAAGGGTAAATAATAAATTATTCACTGTTGACAAATGATAATACTGATTTAAAAAACTTGTTAAATAAGAAATTAATACCTGGATTTGCTTTGGGGAGTGAACAAAATTTAGAAATAGAGGTGGTAAAAAACTTGATTTAAAAGGTTGAAAGAAATGTTCTTGACTGATAATATAGAAAAAAGTAATAAATTTTTACCTGAGATATATTAAAAAACCTAAATGTTTGTTGAAAATAATGAATTAGAAACTGATAATTACTCCTTCTCTCCAACAAATTAAATCATGGATATCTTGATTTAATCAACATCACGAAAAACAAGCAGCTGGAATTGCAAGTTCTAGTTAATTAAAAACAATAAACACAATCCTTGTTCAATTTTAATTATGTTTCATTTGTTCATTTGTTTTATTTCATTCATTTGAATATCAAATAATTAGAATAATTTATTCGAATAGAAACTAATTACATTTTTTGTTGACATTTTCCTCACTCATTCCTAGACGGATTATCAATTAGTAGTTAATGAATGATTATTTTGCGTTGACAAAAGACATTATTTTTAGACGGTATTTTTTGTTTATTATTATTTGAATTTTTAATTGAACAAGTTACGCTTGTATTTGGGTTAATAGAAACCGGATTCAAACCTCTTTTTTTAGTATTAGTATTAGTGTTAGTATTTAGTATTAGAACGGATATTAATATTAATATAAAACCCTGCAAACTATGTTAGATAGTAATAGGTTGGTTTGACCCATACTGTGATTGGCTTATTGGGGATGATCTTTTCAAATTTGGTGATTTTCACCAACATTGTGTTTTCTAATACGTATATAGTAAAATTTTAAGGTAAGACTTGACCCAGCTGCGGCAGTAACCTATCTATATAGTTATTAATATTATAATTGATAAACCGGTTTACGAATTCAAACCGGGCCCAAACAATTTTTATTACAATTTGGTTACACGATCGGAAGTTTTATTTTGGAAAAAAACATAGGACGATCTAAGCCAAAAAAAATTTATTTCTTGAAAAAATGTCGAATAAAAGAAGTTACTCATCTGAAGAGGAAAAGACTGAAAAAGATAATACTAATTGGGATGAGGAGGAAGAACAAGAGGAAGAAGAACAAGAAGTTGAAGATTACGATGAAGAAGAAGAGGATGAAGAAGAGGAAGAAGAATATTCCTCAAATAAAAGAGTAAATTTTTACCTTTTGGTTCCTTTGCTATATTAATTCAACAATTAATTCGATCGTACTCAATTTAAATAAATATTATATTAAATCAGAATAAAAAACGTCGTAAGGATGAGAAAAAGAGCATGTTCGTTTTAGATGAGGCAGAAGTCGACGAGGATGAAGAGGAGGAGGAGGATGAAGAAGATGCAATACTCGCTAAGGGTACTTATGATGTTATTAATTAAATTAATTAATGTACATTTTCTAAAAAAATATTATTTTACTATTATTATATAGAATTTATTGATAACCGTGAAGAGATTCCAGCTGACACGAGTATCTATAGATCCACAAGGAAAGCAACAAATGATTTCGATCTTAGGGCATTAGAAGATGAAAACAATGATGCTGAAGCACTTGCTCAAAAATACATCGAAAGATATGGACGTCGCCATCATGATGCTGCTGAAGATAGTGTACAGCTTCCAAGTCAAGTAAATAATTTAGCTAGTATCGAACAACCAAATATGTTTGTAGTCAAGTGCAGGGTAAATATTATATTCATCATTAAAAAATAAGAAATAAATTTTGATAATTTGTTTATCTATTAATCAATACTTACATATACGTTCATAATGCACACATATATGTATATATCTAGATTGGTAGAGAAAGGGATGTTGTTG